TCAATACATTAAAATAATTTAAAAACACTAAAAAAATATTAATTTAAAATTAATAAAAAAAATAAAAAAAATAATTTTTTAAAAAAATACTTTTAAAATACATAAACAATCAGGCACTTATTTAACGAAGGTGAAGAAAAAGTCATGGGCACTGTGACTGAGTACCTGATACCATCAGAGAGTACACGCCACCCTACTTTCCAGCTGGCTTTCCCAACCATTCGAGGGAAGGACGTACTGCCATAACTGCCATAACGGTCCACTTCTCCAGCTGGATCCCAATCACCGCTTTAGGCGCACTCTAACATACTTCATCGCTACAACACTAACGTACGCACTCCTCATAGCATTGTATTCTTTTTTATCTATATTTCTCCGAGAAAAATCTATTGCTAGTTATGCTTTTCAATAAAAACGATGAAAGAAGCGCTGTAAACAGAGGTCCTCTTCGCCGAACGTAAATAAGATCATTGTTCTTAAAAAAATATCACATGGAATTTAATTAAATGAATACGTGCGAGTGTGTGTGGATAAAACGCACGTGTAAGCAAGCAGACATCGCACGGGCGATGCGCTGTGAGGGACGGGCAGCAGAGGTAATAAAAAGAGAAAGAGCCAAAAAAGGCGGCTTAGAAATGGGCGAGTTTTCGGTGAAAGCGGTATTTGAGGGAGGTGAGTTCGTCGGCAGCAATCTCTGGCAAGTTTCCGAAACTTCGAGTCGCCAAGGCATCGCCTCTTCGGACCTCACTTAATCCACCAATACTCTCACTCGCTGCTTCTACCATCACAACTCAGAAAATAAAAATAATAAAAATAAAATACCAAAATATTAAAAATAAAAGAGAGTAAGATTAATTCAGAAACTGCATTGTACCTATATGGTTAGAGAATCCATTAAACTGAGCCAAATCTGCAACAAACAAACAGAGATTTTTTTTCAAAAAAAAAACTAATTAAGAAAATTCTAGAGAGTTAATGTTTTTAATTTATTAGCACCTGATTGAGAAGGAGTATGGGAGACAAGGAAGAGGACAAGGAAACAAAAGAGGGTGAGGAAAGGAATGAGGTGAATGAGTTTCTCTGGTTTTGGAGGCGCAGATGCAAGTTCGGATGAAGAAGAAAAGAATCGGCGTGGTTTTGTTGATTTGTGATCTAAGTCGTCAGCGTCGGGTGCGAGTGAAGTAGAAGGAGGTAGGTCCTTGAATACTGGTTTAGTGTCGTTTGGTAAGAGAGTATCGGCTCCTCCATGGGGGTGGAGCTTGGTTGCTGGTGAGCCTAGAGATTGTCTTTGCATTCTTCAGAGACAGAGACCGTATAGAGAGAAGGGTTGCTTTGCTTTTTATTGATTTGTTTAGCCAATACGCTCTGGGTTTTAACAAGAGAGCTGTCTTGTGAGCTGTTGTTTCCTTGCCGGTTAATCTTCTATGCCAATAATTTTCCTTTTTTATTGAAGATATTAGAAATTATATTGTTTTATTTATTACAAAAAATAATATATGGTTTCATATATAAAAAGAAGTCATGTTATCTGTTTGAGAGAATAAATATTTTTCTTAGTTATTTTATTTTTTTAGTTTAATAATTTTATTTTATTTTATTTATTCAGTATTATTAATTTTTTTATTTGAAATATATAGTTTCATGATTTTTATTTTTCTAAAACGTATTGATAGATATTGTTTTCTAGTTTTTTTTTTTATATGTAAAGGGTTGTAATGATTTTTTTTATAAGAGAGTCTTTGATTAAATAAAAATAAAATATTTTGGATCTTCTTGTAATTATGGTATACATTATCTTTAAAAATCTTGATTTATAATAAATTTTATTTTCTTTTAATGTTTCACAATGTCAAATATGGAATGAAATTTTAAAAAAAAAATGAATAGGAGGGTCAAAGTGGGTATTAAATTGTTACCGTTGTGTGTATGGGCTTTGCCTTTATGTTTTTTTGACGAGGGAAAAATGAATTAATTTTTAGGGTCAATTTTTTATGCTTTTGAGGTTAAGGTTGGTAGGGTGGGGACTGAGTTATTAAAAAAAAAGTTTGTAGGCTATATGGGTCGGTTTCAAAGTTTATGTTAAAAAAAACCATCATTTTAATGTTTATTTAGTATTATAATAATTTCGGTTTTTTAAATTATTTTTTGTTTTAAAAAATTAGGTATTTTTTGATATGTTAATATTAAAAATAAAAAATTATTTTAATATATTTTTAATTAAAAAATACTTTTAAAAGTATCTTATACCACATTACCAAGTAAATTTCAAGCTTTTTTTATTTTAATTGTGTTTTTATTTCTTTAAATAAGAAATAAAATTATAAAAAAAAAACTAAAAATAAAGAATAATAGCATAACTTACAACTAGAGATATACGCGCGCGCCCACACTTTTATGCCTGCTTATCTGCATACAACAATGTTGTGCTTTAGGCGCTGGTGGAGGAGGATGTCTTCTTTGAACAATTTCATTGCAGTAGGAGGCAGCAATAAACTAAAAATAAAGAATAATAGCAGAACTCACACCTAGACACACACACGTGTACACATTTTTGTGCTCCCCAAATTTATTTTTTTATTGTCAGCCATTAAAATGTGGTGGCCATTATATTTGTCATGGTATTTTATCTCTTTGTAAGAAGTGGTCCCTACCACCCAACTACTCATGTATTATCCACGAGTGTACTGTGTTAAGTTTAGTGGATCCAGAAGTGTGACTCCGCGTATACGTCATCTAAATTTTACTAAAATAAAAAATACTTCGCTGTCGTCAAAATTTTAGATTAAATTCAAATATACTTAAAAGATCTTTTTAATAATAAATTAATAAAATATTAAAAAATATTTCTAATTCATTATAACCACGCAGCAAAACACTATTAATTAGAATAATATTTTACATTTTATTATATAATATTATATTATTTTAAATATTATACTACATAATTTTTTTATTTTTATTGTTAGGTTATATACCACTTTCATGAATTTATTTTATTTTTTTCATTTTTAATCTTCATTGTTAGTTTTATTAGAAGTTGAGTTTTATAAAAAAAAATTAATTTTTTTTTATAAATTTATCTTTATTCTATGACTAAGTTATTTATCCTATTAACTTGAATTGACTCAAGTTATTTTTTTTTATTTTTTAATTGATGTATTTAATCTTTCAATGTTGGGTTTGTTAAAAATTAAATTTTGAATTTTTTTATTTTTATTTTTATTTTTTATGAGGTTATTCCAATCTCATAATTCTGGCTGTAAGTTTAGCAGATTAATTCAGATGGATTCTGCTTATCCTTTTATTCTTTATTAATTGAGATTTTTTTTAATTGGATTTTGTTTTTTTATGAGATTATCTTCATTTTATAATTCAGATTGCAGGTTTTGCAGATTGATTTTTGTTATCCCTTTTTAATCGATTTATTTTTCAAATACATCATCTAACAACTCAATTTTTTTTTAATTTTTTTTTTAACATTATATTATTTACAAATTAAAATTCATAATTGTTTTTAATTTATATTTTATGAAATTATCTCAGTCTCGTGAATTTAGTTATTTTATTTTTAATTTCAACATCCCATATTAGGACTATTGGAAATGGATCTTCACAATTGTTTTCATTTAATTTTTATGATTTTTTCTTGATCTCATAATTCATATCGCGTGTTTAACGGGTTAGCATAAATTGTTTTGAGTTGTTTTTATTTTTTTATTCAATCATTTAATATTAGACTGATTAGAAATTAAACTTTATATTTTTTTTATATGATTATTTCAATCTTATGATGTGAGTTACAAGTTAGGCAGGTTAACCCGAGTTGATACATGTAGCTTTTTTATCCTTATTTTAATTCAATATATATTTTTTTTCATTTTATTATTTGAGATCGAGTTGATTAAGATTTGATCTTCATAATTTATTTTGATTTACTTTCTATAAAATTATCATGACTTGAATTATATATTTAACAAGCTAACCATGATCGATCTAATATGTTGTCATCTTAATATTTTTTTAAAAATATCATTCAATATATTATCATGTAAATATTTAAAAAAAATGTTGTTGATTATGCATCATATTTTAGATTCATAATTAATTTTTTATTAGAAGACATATTGGTAATACTTATATATATATATATATATATATATATATATATATTATGTTAAAACAGTTAATCTATCTCGTGGCGCCACACGGCTAAATAATCTAGTTCATTCTAAAATAAACACGTAGTTCACAAGTCTAAAGTAAATTATGTGTTTACTTCCACGTTATAACATGTCGCAGAGTGTAATCAATATTGAGTGCATGGAAGATCTAAACAATCCACTATTATAATAATCAACAGTAATCTCAAAAACACGTGTTAATAAGTATTGAAACAATGAATTTATTTTAGAAAAATATTGACATAGATGATGGCAAGGATAAGGGGTTTCCTTACAGATTAAGATTGGGGAGAGACATCTAAAATATTTAATTTTTATTTATTTATATCTTATCTTCCAAAATACAAGTGAATAAGAAACCTATTAATATTAACTAAGAAAATAAAAATAGAAAAGTTACACTCCTCAAATGAAAAACCTAATAATACTAAAAAAAAATAAAATTATAATGTTAAAAACGAGTTGGCTTGCCTTATATTTTCTAACTTACATATTTATCATTCTACTTTGGATTAACTTAATTTTATATATTTTTATTATTTTTTTAATTTAATTACATACCTCCAAATGTTTTTTAGGTATCATAATCCCTTTTTTTTTTGGTTTACTATAATTATCCTTTTTTTATTTTTTTATTGTTTAATTTAAATAAAATCAATTTATTAAACTTGGTTAGGATTACAGCTCGAGTAAACTTTTTTATTTATTTAAAATATACTTACAATACTTAAATATTGTTTTTTCATTGAGAAGAATATAGACCTATTAAGTAGCATGAGCCCATATCTATTTCAAGGAACATTTGAGAACTATAAGCTATATTAAGATCTTTTTTATTTAGAATAAAATTTAATTAATATTGTAAACCACTAAACTTGCATAAAGAAAAAATTAATCAAAAGACAAGTAAGATTCGCTCGAATGGCTGAAAGTGAAAATCGTATGTTTATTTTTGAATTTTAAAAATGTTTTTGAAAAAAAAATAATTATTATTTTATTTTTTAAAATTATTTTTTTTAAATTATTTTGATGTGCTGGTATCAAAAATAATTTTTTAAAAATAAAAAATATTATTTTAATATATTTTTAAATAAAAAATATTTTAAAAACAATTATAATCACACTCTTAAAGAAATATAATATTAAGATATTATTATCTTATTTTATCTTATCTTGATAAATAATAATATTAAAACCAGTAATTACCACCACAAAACTTAATGGATATTCCTACTCAAATCAACTAGCATTTGTATAATTGAATAACAGGCCAATGCTCCTCATATTTCATTTTTGTCGCTTAATCAAACCTTTTTTTATTAAAATAAAAAAGAAAACCGAAGCTATAAAATTTAAGAAGTCTAAATTTCAAACCAAATAAGTTGAAGCACATTTGAGAATCAGCATCCTGCAGCTGTTATAATTCATTCCTTTTGGCAGGCTATAATAGGCCCGATTCTTGCCCCAAAAGCTAAGACTGACGAGAGGTATTTTTTCTTCATATAGATATATATCTACCGAAGGCTAATGTCTTTCATTCTTTAAATTATGATCACCTAACTGGTATTTTAGTGAGCGGGCTCGCTAGAGTTAATATAAATATTTTTTTTATTTTATAAAAAATAAAAAATAATATTATTAAAAAATCCATAAATTCAATGGATTTTAAATAAGTTTTTTTTTTAATTGATTAAATTTCGAATCAATTCAAGTTTTTGACTGAATTATATCAAATTAATTTTTTTTTATATGTTTATTAAAACTTAGTCCCGCTTAAACTTCGAATCACTCATATTATATATCAACTTGTTGGGTAAGGTGAGGTAAGGTAAGGTCTTAAAAGGGATAAAAGCTTAAAGTAGTATAATTTCAGCAAGGCATTTACCGCTGAACCCTTCCAAAAAATCTCAGCAAGGCATTTACGTTGCGTTAAAGTAATTTATTTGATTTTATTGTGATTTATAAAGCTAAAAGTCTTAAATTGTGTCCTTCCAACTATTCTTTTTTTTTTTCCCTTTACTTTTCTTTCCTTTTTTGCCTACTAATTAACGTCAAAATCTTAGTTTTTAAAAATATTTTTGGTCTAATTATCATAATTATTCTACACCACGACTATTTCCCTTTTCTTTCCTCCTCTAGTATGCATGACGTTGAGGTAATCTGAGCTTAATTAAGTAATTTATTTAATAAATTAAGGGTATTATATATAAAACCCCCTTAATTTATTTATTTAACACATGTATATTTTCTACATTTTCAATATAAATTTTTAAAATAATTTGTCCTATCTAACATTTTGTTCTCTTTTCCTAATATAAGTTTCCTATTTTAATTTTTTTTTAGTTTTCCTTATTATACTATGTTTTCAATATTTTTTTTTCAATTCAATATCTAATCTTGTGCTTTCCATACAGCATATTCAATAAACATTCTCTATATATATAACACATTTTTTCCTCACAAATCACATGAACTTTTTTTCCTTTTTTATAAGTCTAAAAAATACCATCAAATAATTCTTGGTATCAATTTTACTATTTAACTCTTAAGAATTCTAAATAAAGAGCTTCCATCTATTTTTAAGGCTTTCCATTCATATTTTTACCCAAATTATTTATTTTTGCGAAGAAATGATGATATTTTGCTGAGCACTTAACGTTTTTTAATCAAGTATTTAAAAAAAAGTCATTAATTGAAATATCAAAATAATTTACTGCTAAAATTGATATACAAAATAGCTTAGGTATAAAATTGATAATATCCTAATAGTTTAGTGATATATTTAATATATATTTGTCCTTTCTTTTCTTATCATATTTCAAAGAGAATATTGATGAGAATATCGATCATTTAAATTTTAAAGACTATAACAAACATTTTATGGTCTGTTTACTTTTTCAATTAGAAAATGTTTTTGAGAAAATTTAATTTTTTTTGTTTTAAATAATTTTTTAATCATTTTAATATATATCCAAAATGAATTTTAAAAAATGAAAAATATGATTTTATATATTTTTAAATAGAAAGCACGGTAGCACAGTAACAAACGGGCTTCAGAGGCGGTGCACATAAACAAAAGAACGAGAATTTTCTTGAGAAACAGATACACAAGATGGTGCTATGGGAGATCACATTGGGAACTGCGTATTTTTTGGGTTTGAAACGGGCTTACAAATTGGTTTCAAGGATTCAACTCACGGTTATCAGCCCCAAGTACCCTAGGACTCGTCAGTTTGTTCAGAGGTATGTGCTGTAACTGCTATTTTGTCGAAATGCTGTTTAATTGACTAGCTCTTTTGATGCATTGGATCCTTGCTAGTGAATGGCTTTGTTTTGATGACACATATGATCTAATCAGTATTCGATCTATACATTTCTATAGAAATTGATCAGTGGAGTGCTTTTGCATTGATCATTTTACTTTTTCTTTATTTGTGGGATTTTATGAAGATATATTTGAAGTAGCTGCACCTATGTTCTTATGATCTTGCTCGTCTATGATTTGTTTGATAGAGACTAGGGAGTGCCTGGTTTATACATAATTCAATTTCCTCATTACTTTTTAAGTCTCTAACCATTTAATACATATTTCTTCGAGGAAATTGGGGTGGTTTGAATGAGGTTGTCATAATATCGACACACATACAGAGGTATTGGCAGTATATCTCTATCATCTTGTTGATCAGGATGCCAAATGGATTTGATTTGCTTAAAATGCAATGAAAACCTACATTGCAGTTTTTCCTCTGCTTCAGGAGCATGCATAAGATGCATTGAGTTCCATTTTAATCATTATTTTCTTTGTTCAATGCCTAACCATTGCTTCTGTAATTTCTATTCGTAGTCTTCTGTACATAGTTGCGCCACGTGTATTGGCAGCATCTCTTTAGTGGGTCGCCTTCCCTTATGCTAGAGTTTTTTCCATACATGCATGCACACTACAGAATGGGTTTGCTGAACTTGTTTCATTTTCTCTTTCAAACCATCATTTCCATATATCACTCTCTACTTCAAGGGTGTGAAGAAGTGAAAGCATGCTAAGGGGGTGTCTTTTCTAATTTGAATTCCGAAATAATTGACCATACAAATTTTATCCCAGAAGGTGATTATATGCCTGAAAGTCCTCGCAATTAGAAAATTACGGTATTTTAAGCAATCAATTTTGAGATAGAGGTTTGGAAAAACTTCTTCAATATCATACCATAGATTTTGACAACACATATAAAACATTAACAGAGTGTATACTGTCTGATGTCCAGACAACTATTTGGGCGTCTAATAAAGATTTGAATAGATGAATTCAATGCAATTGAGACATATTTGGATGCCTTAAACGCTTGGAAGGTTCTTTCAGTGTGACTATACTGCTGCTAAACTTTCTAATTTGTTTCCAGATTGGCTTAAATGCCCTTTTGTACAGTTTGTGCATCTCTTACTTGCTGGTGCTACTATCACTGTTGCATGTTGTGTATCGTTATGCTGCTAGTACGTGTATATCTCCATGCCTCTAGTTTGAAACTACTTCCAGGGCTTAAAAAACCTCACATTCTCCTTTCTTTTCCCAACTTCATAGACGAACACGTGCTATTTTTGATGTTGCTCTGAAGGTTCACCTGAATGTACAGCAAAGAGACATAGAGGTTGGTCGAAATCTTGGTAACAGGATTATGAGGTGGCTGCACCAAATGAAACCTTCCGCTCAGATTCATGGTCCCTCAACTGAGAAACCCACAAATGGTGCTAGCTCAAATATGAATGTTACAAACCAGGTAACCAACACTTCCCACCTGAAAGCTTCGGGCATTGGCCAGACATCTAGATGCCAAGAATCTTATAGGCACCTTTTCACCTCAGCAAGGAGTACGTGGTCAAAACCATTTCCTTCCATTGCAATGATGATGCGACCATCAAGACCTGCTGGAATTTTTACACAGTACAGGCACTTGAGCATCCAGGGCCCTGAAATGTCTAGGCCAAACTACAATATTGGTGGTGGATGTGGGTTTCAGGGGGTTTTCCGGAAAGACACGATGCAGTATATACTGCAAAACTAAACGTGGTAGGTATTTTTTATCTTGTGTTCCTTGTGGAGTCTGGCTTGATTCTGAGATGGAACTGTGCTGGAAGTTGGCTGAAGTGTAATTTGAGGGGACACAACGTGGTCATGCTGAAACTGATAGCCGAAACCATTTTTCCTATAATTCTTTTCCCCTTTTGGGTAATAAATTTCCGCTTTTATTTTCTGGTTGTTGTATATGCTTTAGAGCTCCTTTTTTCTTAGCATTTGCGTTAACTTGACCTCAGTGATATCCTGTTGAATGCTTTTTGAGTTGTACGGCTGCTCAAACAATTATATATGATGCTGATGACTTATGAAATGGCGCATATAACAATATTAACAAGTTTCTGAACCTAACAATCAATTTTATATCATAAAAACAACTGCCATTTTTGTACTATCATTTTGTAAGAAATCAAATAACAACTTCAAGTATTCTTTGCTGCTGGGATTTTGTTTCGCATGGTACAATCCCCGGTGAATTAGGCCCATGTGCTGTCGAACCACCAGGGAACCCCGCCATTTAGTGGCATCACTCTCTGAAGCCAGGCCCACACTGTGCCTGTTTCGAACAAACCCTGCTGTATGAAGCCCAGACCGATGCCAGCTACTCATCTGGCCAAGGATTAGCCCTGTCCTGAACTGGTTGCGGCCAGCATCACACTGTTCTGCTTCAAATGAGGCCCTGCTCCGTGAGGTCGCTCTACTAGCCAGGACCCAGTAGCAGAGTAGGCTGCCCTGAGATGCCAGCACCATCCCAAGCAATGTCAGGATTGTATGGACCTGAAAGAGCACCCTCCGGTTCAGTCCAGTTCCTTCACTTTGGTGCCCCTACTTGGGTCACAACTCACAAGCCACCAAAAATCGCAAGGCCATGGTGGTTAAAGCCCACTTCTTAACTGTGTATGGGTTGAATTAAAGCCCAAATACATAGCCAATAAATTTCCACCTGTTTTATATTTCTCCGGCCGTGGAAAGTAGAAACCGGCGCCTGCACTTTAGTAGCCTCTCGTCGCTCGAAAGAACAGAACAGGTGCGAGATCATCTTAACCCTGTCGTTTATGATCTTACTACTATCTTACTGTTTTTTTTTTGTATTGAATTACTCGTATTTTCATTTATTTTTTATAAACTGGGATCTTACAGCTCTGTGATTTTGCTCTAATATGGTGGAAACAGTAATGAAAAAATCGATTGATTGGCATCAATTTTAAGTTGGTGAATTCCCACTTGATTGATTGATTGATTGAAATCATTTCTTGAATTTCATATGGGTGTTTGTATCTGGGTTGATTAGTCTAATGACTATGAGGACTGAGATGAGTTGCTGGGTTCTAGAAGAATGCTCTTCTGGACCTTAAGCTCCGTAGTTTTATGACATTGTTGGTGTTTGTGTTTAGCAGACTTAGGCTTTGAACAATTGATTGTATCGGCTGTCTTAAAAGAGGTACTACTAATTGCTTTCATTTTCTTAAATGAGGTAAATGACCGGGCTTATTATTATTATCATCTCCGAAAATGAATTTGTAGGCTAGTACTCAGCTTTGATCATTGTGATTGCAATGATAGTTGGCAATTGATCATGATTGTGTATGCTTGGTGTGGCAAGTCTAATCCCGATGCATGAGATGCGGATCGGGTAATAATTCAATTTTTTTGTTTAGTGTTCATGATCCTCCTGAGTTGTTTCTTATTTCCAACGTCCACATCATTTACACAAGTAATGAGGTGAAAATGCTCAGGAAGCATGTTGTGGCTAAGAGCGGGAAGTCTTTCTGAAGTTGTATTGGAATTCTTTGGATTTAGCAATTTGGAATTTGATAATTCTACATTCATTGTGGATCATGGAGCTTAAATTCAATCCAAAATTAATCTTGTGTAAGCCAACTTCTTTATTGATGGTTCTCATTGCACACAATAAACCAGAAAGACATTGGTTTCCTTGTTTTTATGGGCACCTCTTTTCGCATCCTTCACAGCCTGATTTGTAGAGTATGTTTAGCTTGAGGAAGAAGTTCTCTTTCTTTCGCATTTCCTTCTCATATTTTTAGTTTTTGCTGCATCTCCTTGTATAAGGTTTTGTATGTAGTATTGTGCCACCTTTCTCTTGTTCTTTTTTTAATTATATCTTGCTTGTCCAAAGATTTTTTTTTTCTTTCCCCTTTCCGGATGTTGAGTTAGTATTTCATGTTCTTACAGGCACAAACAACTGCAAATACTGGCATGGAGTTGGCAGACAGAGCAGTAGGGTTTTTGTTATCTTTAACCAGTATATCTATCTTCACTTATTATACTTTCTGGGTTATCATTTTGGTGAGTTCAGTTTTTCGTTGATTTGGATCCACATATTCAATGAACTTGTCTTTAGTGTTTACTTTTAATCTTGTGGTTTTTCAGCCATTTGTAGACAGCGATCACTTTGTCCACCAGTATTTCCTTCCTCAAGAATTCGCCATACTTGTACCTGTATTTGCTGGCATGGTGCTTCTCTGCTTCTTATGCGTGTTTATTGGATTTGTGATGCTTAAATCCAAAAAGAAGAAAGCATAATGCGACCACAATTACCATTTTGCATATTCTAGCACGTTTTACACTCACAAACCTTACCTTCTCTCGTTGATAGATTTGCAACCCAGAGTGTTTTTCTTTTGAGATTAGAGCAATTATAACATTATTGTGGCATTAGATTTCTTGCTTGCAATGACTGATTCTTCCTTGTTGACTATCATTGCATCGTTGACACATGAGCAGTTTAAGAATATGGCTCAATTATCAAGTTTCTTGTGACATGTAGAATATTAAGCCAGAACATCCAGTTCTGAACTGAGCTTGTTCATTTTACTCTCCCTTTCAGTTCTTTATTGCTTCGAGTCTATAAAGAGCATGCCTCCTATTTTTTTATATTTTTCTGGCCTATTCCCCTCACTCTCAGAGGATAACAAAAGGTTTTATGGTTTATACAGTTCCTCATTAATTTGAGCCTCATGCATCCTTAAATTCGGAAATGACTCTGTTCTGTCAAACGATTGCTGCTCAGTTAGTTCACAGCCTGATGGAGTAGTTCTAATTCCAGGGATTTCTCACATTTCTCCTCTAATATCAAAAGAAAATTTCAGGGATTTCCATTTAGGTGTGACTCACATTTCTCCTCTAATATCAAAAGAAAAGTCAGTCGTGCCATCATCAGGGTTCATTGCTTGGTTATCAGCCGATGTTATTGTTTACTCGCAGCCAAGAAATTTGGTGTTTGTTCTGTGGACGTAGACTATTATACAATACATCTAAAACAAATGACCGTTCTGAACTGGTCCTCTCCTTTGTTTTTATTAATGAACAATTTCGTTTATTTGTTTTTTGACATTTTGATCACTGAACATTTTTTTCTCTAACTTCTTCATTTCATGTGATGTTTGTGATAAATCACGTGTTGATGTAGTCTCCTCCTTGTATTTTCTTGACAATCCAAAGTATTTCAATAAAATTTCTGAAATGAATTAGAGGTAAATTTCATGAAATAAGATTTAAATTTGTTGTATATTAAGACAAAAAGGACCAAAATAAAAAATAAAAAACTAACTGGGTTTCTCAACTTTGCTCAAAAACTTCATTTTCTATTAAAAATTCTTTATTTGCTCATTTTTAGTCTTTTAATTTTATAATGTTATATTTTAATCCTAAACTTTATTTTTTTAAGTTTGAGTCTCTAAATTTTGATACAGGAGAGAAAATCATCAAAGATGAGAGAGAGTGGTTTATTGATCGCATAAGATTTTTTATCTTGTCAATACAATTAACAAATAGATTGAGGCTATAATTTTTTTTATTCAGTTTAATTTTATATATATTTTTAATAATTTAAGAGTGTTGAGATCAAAAATGGTTTTATTTGGGATATTTAATAATGTATTTCTAATATGTTTTTAAATAAAAAAAAATATAAAAAATAAGTTTTTAAAATTTAAAAACTTAGATGTTGACTTTTCAATTACCTTTGATTCTTAGGATTTGTACCGGTAGATGATATGTTTTGATTTTTTTTTTATTTTAAAAAAATAAAGTACATGTTGTGTCGCCTTCACTATTAAAACCCATCGACTTGGCATTGCAGGCGAGCTATTTTTTATTTTTATTTTTTGTCCAGGTGATTAGTTTAAATATGAGCTTCTTTTTATTAATCCAGGTGTTCGGGATCAAACATCTAGACCTAGACTCCTTATCTTTTTTTATATAGCCTTTTAGTTTGTGTTAAATTTTTTAAAACTTTAATTAGATTAATTATAATTCAATATTTTAAAATATTATTCCATTAAATACCTTTAATTTTGTCTTTATTTTCAAATAAGATTGTAGAATTTTTGTGATATTTGCAATCAATTTATTAATTATTTTATCTGAACCTATTAAATTTATGATCAAGAATATTCAATAAAAAGAATTTTATATTTTGTTATTATAAAAATTTTATAAGATTTTCTTAAATTAATTATTTTTTCTCCAATTTCATATAAAATATAGACACATGATTTTCAATGTTTCTTTGTTAAAACTTTATTTTCATATTATTACAAGTTTCTTAATTTAAAAACCGATGTATGAGACTGGTGTTGAGCCAGAGGCAATTTTTGAAACATCACCATAGAACTGTGTTAATCACACCTGTTTGTTCGATTCTACGACCTCGACGGTACTGAGAAAGGTAAAGCGGCGGGGCGGGGACAAACTCTGGTGTAGTTTTATACGTGTACCACACTATTCTGGATAGAGTCAAAATAGGAGTTAGTGTGTCCTTGAAAATTAGAAATCTCCACGGAAGATATTTGAAGTTCTCAGACAATCCCCAACATATGCAAAAATAACTCAAGACACCTGCGACTTCAAAGAACAAACAAAGGAGATGGTTTCAGCGCACCATTGATCATTATGCACACGTGAATGCTTGATCGAAGAGCTAGCGGTGACAACATTCAGAACTAGTGGGTTTGTAATTTGAACAATTAAGTATGAATATATTATAATTAGATAATGATTTATTTTAGATATTGGAAGAGATATATTTATAGATTAATGAGATATATTTAAGTTCAAGAGGAGATTTAATTGCGCCAAATTAAAATAACAATTTAAAAATATTATTATATTTTATAGGATTATTTGATGGTGTTTAAATTTTTACTGAAATTTTTAAAGGTTATTTTTCTAGAAATAGTTTGGAATCGCTATTTTGATTATTTTAAAAATTTTGGGCCTCGGTTTTGATTATTTTTATGATTTTTATTGTTATTTTTGAATTTCATGCTTTTTATATATATAATTTTAGATTCTAATTTTAATTTTTAGTCGAGGTAAAGTTCCTGACACCTTATAAATCTCCTAGAAAGAACTTGAGGATCGTTATTCCAGAGGAAATAAAACATGCTGACTGAGTTTATATCTCCGGTCACTTTCGCTCATTAAAATTATTGTGTTGTTTCTTTGCTCGTTGCTTTTCACATAAGATCTCGAACCTAAAATTCCAAGCATGTCTCGAAGGAACAAGGAGAGAAATCTAAGATTAAAAATGCATACATAATTCTGACTCGCCTGAAACACCAGCAGGTTTTTGTAACAAACTCGTAGCCCTGCATAATCCTCAATGCACCGAGGGTGCTGGAAAGCGGATAAATCTGCTCAAACTGTTTCCAACACTGTTCAACTCAAATCGTACAATACATAAATTGACATCTCACTCATTATCAACATTTTCTTGCTATGCAAGTTGATTACTTCTTTAAAAAGCGCGAAACACCTACTACTATTCTTTTGTGTTCAAGCGGTCTTTTAATCAACCAAACTTTTAAGAGGATATGACGAGGCACTGCATTCATGTTTCAGATTTTATAGCACAAGTTGCTGAATATTGTAATGCAGTTGGAAAGCATCACGTCATCATTGAAGTTGCAAAATGTCTTTTCATCCATTCAGTCATCTTAAAAGAGTTGAAAAATACCTTTTTGCGTGGTAAAGTGTCAACAATCACACTGCTGAAGAATTACGGTGGAGAAGAAAATACAAAGAACAGGGTGTCAAGAGTGTACCTTGCACTACTGAGATGATAAATCCTACCAGGATAACAATTAACAAAGCAGTCTACCTCTTCAAAGTTATGCTAAGTAAATCCGGATTCACTCTGTTGGTTTGTTGAATTAATTAATTTTAATGGCGCTAGGCACATCCCAAGCAGAATCCCATATTCAAAGTGTAGACAACAATTCAGCATTCCACGCAGTTTCATACAAAACAGAAGATCATTTCCCAGAAAAGCTAGTGGCTTTTGAGAGTGATATGAACCAATCAAACAGAACAGAACATACCAGAGACAACACCAGTTGCTTCAAACCCAAGAATTATCAAAAGCAGCTGATGTGATTGCCTGCGAAAACTCCTCGAAACTTATTCTTCCATCCCCATCCGTGTCTGCCTCCTTGATCATCCCTGTCAACTCCTCTGCGGTAAGTGCATGCCCTAGTTTTGCCATCGAATGCGCCAACTCGGCTGCTGTAATAAACCCATTACCATCTCTATCAAACATCTTGAACAGATGCTTTAGCTGCTCCTCACTATATGGTGACTTCTCCGGAAGCAGCTCTGGTGCTACCAGAGCCACAAACTCTGAGAATTCAATTAAACCGTTGCTGTTTGTATCTGCCTTCTGATTTAAGGTTTCAAGCTGATCAGGACGAGTTTTTAGTCCTAAGGACCGCAAGAGCGAGCCTAACTCGAGCTGCGTTAAGCTTCCATCATTGTTTCTATCAAAACAACGAAATATCTCACGTAGCTCGGCGATTTGCTCATCATCGAGCTTCACAGCTGGTTTCTTGATGCTCATATTGTCAACAAAAAACAAAAAATCTCTCTTTTCTACTCACTTTCTTCACAGCTTGTATCTTTAATTCTTAGCAAATATGATCAACTCACTATCCAGCTATTTGTTGGAATAGTAGTGTCCTAACGCAAAAGGCTATATATAATAACATTTGAACAAACAAGAAGAAAAGGGGCAAATATTTGGCAACTAATGAATGTCCAAAAATTTGCAGTATGAGAAATTCTGTCTGGATAAAATAATTTTCACCTCTTTTCTTGATATGAGGGTTCGAGTCATGCCTTTCGTTCTTTCATTTCCAAGATTGATTCACTTCTATCGTACTCCCTTTGCTCTCTCTCAACAAATCTCGGAGATGGATGACTTCTTTTTCCGTGACCAATAAGAAGAGATTTGAGAGATCCAAGATTGCCTTGATGATAGTTCTTTCTTGCCTCCACTTTAGATGGATCCTCAACCAACCCAACGAAGGAAAAAGAAAACCGCCGCCCGCCCCCCCCCCCCCCCCCCCCCCCCTTTTTTTTTTTTTCCTGACAATTAAATCAATGCTCTTCCCTTTGCTGGGCAATCCAAGCAAGTGGGGGTCTTTGCATACAGTTGGGAATGGAAACAAATCATATTTTGGCATTTGTCATTTTGCACCAATCAAAGATTTTGCCCATTTGCGCAGAAAAGAAAAGAGAAAAAACATTTTACTAAAGCAGAAATTAGATGCGGCGAGGATAAAGCGTGTAATGAGTGTGGATATGCAGAAGGAATGTGGGGGCATGCACCGAGGACGGTGATGTCGGTTCGGTTCGGACTTAAATTATTTGGTTTTGAGGACGACGCATTAATAGTATAATAATATTAATCTGTGGATTTTTTAAAGGACAAATGCAGTAATCCAACCTAGCTTGTCTGGGCAAGAAAATTTTAAATAACTAGACATGTTCGTCCTCAAGAAACAACAAGAACATGAAAAAAAAAGAAAAAGAAGAGGATGATGGACGACACAAGACAACAAATTCGTTCGTTCGATGTCATGGTTTGGTTATTTACTAGGCTCTGGCCGGCGCTTCGCCAAACAGAACAGAACAGAACATACCAGAGACAACACATCAAACAGAACAGAACATACCAGAGACAACACCAGTTGCTTCAAACCCAAGAATTATCAAAAGCAGCTGATGTGATTGCCTGCGAAAACTCCTCGAAACTTATTCTTCCATCCCCATCCGTGTCTGCCTCCTTGATCATCCCTGTCAACTCCTCTGCGGTAAGTGCATGCCCTAGTTTTGCCATCGAATGCGCCAATTCGGCTGCTGTAATAAACCCATTACCATCTCTATCAAACATCTTGAACAGATGCTTTAGCTGCTCCTCACTATATGGTGACTTCTCCGGAAGCAGCTCTGGTGCTACCAGAGCCACAAACTCTGAGAATTCAATTAAACCGTTGCTGTTTGTATCTGCCTTCTGATTTAAGGTTTCAAGCTGATCAGGACGAGTTTTTAGTCCTAAGGACCGCAAGAGCGAGCCTAACTCGAGCTGCGTTAAGCTTCCATCATTGTTTCTATCAAAACAACGAAATATCTCACGTAGCTCGGCGATTTGCTCATCATCGAGCTTCACAGCTGGTTTCTTGATGCTCATATTGTCAACAAAAAACAAAAAATCTCTCTTTTCTACTCACTTTCTTCACAGCTTGTATCTTTAATTCTTAGCAAATATGATCAACTCACTATCCAGCTATTTGTTGGAATAGTAGTGTCCTAACGCAAAAGGCTATATATAATAACATTTGAACAAACAAGAAGAAAAGGGGCAAATATTTGGCAACTAATGAATGTCCAAAAATTTGCAGTATGAGAAATTCTGTCTGGATAAAATAATTTTCACCTCTTTTCTTGATATGAGGGTTCGAGTCATGCCTTCCGTTCTTTCATTTCCAAGATTGATTCACTTCTATCGTACTCCCTTTTCTCTCTCTCAACAAATCTCGGAGATGGATGACTTCTTTTTCCGTGACCAATAAGAAGAGATTTGAGAGATCCAAGATTGCCTTGATGATAGTTCTTTCTTGCCTCCACTTTAGATGGATCCTCAACCAACCCAACGAAGGAAAAAGAAAATAATAATAAAGAAAAAACAAGAGGGGAATAAGGAGCCGAAAATTGAGAAACTTTGGAGATGCTTCTGTCTTAAAATGATGAACATGTAGTGTATGTTGAGACTTTTCGTAATTTTTGTCAGTTGATGAATAGTCAACACCAAAGACAAAGAAGCAATCCACGAATCAATAAATGGCGAATACAGATATTCCATGAACTTGGTTTTTATTCATTTATTTTGCTGGTTGCGAAGAAGAAATCCAAAGCGGCAAAAGAGGCAGCAATTCCGTGATTGGTGCAAGTCTTTTTTGCTGGTTTAGCTGCAGCGTCACATTCTCCTGGCTTTTGCCCCGCCCGCCCCCCCCCCCCCCCCCCCCCCCCTTTTTTTTTTTTTCCTGACAATTAAATCAATGCTCTTCCCTTTGCTGGGCAATCCAAGCAAGTGGGGGTCTTTGCATACAGTTGGGAATGGAAACAAATCATATTTTGGCATTTGTCATTTTGCACCAATCAAAGATTTTGCCCATTTGCGCAGAAAAGAAAAGAGAAAAAACATTTTACTAAAGCAGAAATTAGATGCGGCGAGGATAAAGCGTGTAATGAGTGTGGATATGCAGAAGGAATGTGGGGGCATGCACCGAGGACGGTGATGTCGGTTCGGTTCGGACTTAAATTATTTGGTTTTGAGGACGACGCATTAATAGTATAATAATATTAATCTGTGGATTTTTTAAAGGACAAATGCAGTAATCCAACCTAGCTTGTCTGGGCAAGAAAATTTTAAATAACTAGACATGTTCGTCCTCAAGAAACAACAAGAACATGAGAAGAAAAAAAAGGATGATGGACGACTATCAACAACAAATTCGTTCGTTCGATGTCTTGGTTTAGTTATTTACTAGGCTCTGGCCGGCGCTTCGGTTTGGATAAATAATAAATAATTACATTAAAAAAACATAAATGTTTTTATTTGTACATGCATGCGATGAAACATTTAAATTGATAGTTATAAACTTGATTAATAAATCAAAATAAATTAATCAACCGATCAAGCAAATAAACATTAAATTGATTACCTTACTTAAAATGGTCATCTAGTTAAATAATAAAACATTTTCACCGATTTAGGCCTGGAGGCTTGTGTAACCCTATCTTAAATATGAAAATAAAGAATTGCCAAAGAGTTAAATTGAAAGAAAACTTCAACGGAGTGATATGAAAAAACAACAACAATTATAATAAAAAATTTTCATCAATTTAGGCTTCTATAACCCTATCTTAAATATAAAAATAAAGAATTGCCAAAGAGTTAAATTGAAAGAAAAAATCAAGGGAGTAATATGAAAAAACAATAACAACCTGTATTAACCTAGGTTAACATACAAAATTTACAAACAAGAATACAACTATAATATATTAACCCATATGGATAGTTTGTATTTCTTTTTCATTTCTTTATTCTCTTCTTGGTTGGACATTTGTTAGGTTTTAATTCACCACAACTTGGGTTAAATCAAGGGAGTAATATGAAAAAACAATAACAACCTGTATTAACCTAGGTTAACATACAAAATTTACAAACAAGAATACAACTATAATATATTAACCCATATGGATAATTTTTTTTTTCATTTCTTTATTCTCCTCTTGGTTGGACATTTATTAGGTTTTAATTCACCACAACTTGGGTTAAATTTAGAAGTAAATAAAAGAATTTAAGCTAAAAGGTTAAAAATATATCATATTATATTATATTAATCGCAATCAACTTTAAATAACAACTAAAATTTAGAGTCCAATTCAAAAAATGACCCGCATAATTCTTTTAAAAAAGTTGAAGTACGAAATTTGAAGGAAAAAACTAGGAATGCAAATTAAAAAGAGAAAGGAAGAAATATTTGCAAAAAATAATAATTGAGGTGCTTCATTGTTCATCATATTGTTTTTCAATTCTTTTAGCAGAGAGAATAATAACCAGCTTTATTTCCCATGCTCAGCAGTACGAAATTTGAAGGAAAAAACTAGGAATGCAAATTAAAAAGAAAAAGGAAGAAATATTTGCAAAAAATAATAATTAAGGTGCTTCATTGTTCATCACATTGTTTTTCAATTTTTTTAGCAGAGAGAATAACCAGCTTTATTTCCCATGCTCAGCTGCAAGTTAAATAAAAATAAAATAAAATTAACATGACAAATGCAACTCATATTTTTAACACTGACAAAAGAGAGTTGAGAATGAATTGAATATATATATATATATATACACTGACAAAAGAGAGTTGAGAATGAATTGAATATATATATATATATATACACTGACAAAAGAGAGTTGAGAATGAATTGAATATATATATATATATATAACATTCGATTGATAATAAGGGCAATGATTCAATGAAAGATTAAAGCCATCCTTCAAATCCTTCTTCACTTTCAATTTAGATGAACTGACTTCTATATATATATATATATATATACTGACTTCTATATATATATATAATTTTCATTTTTTTTTAATTTAGATAAATTGACTCTCATCTTTCTTCTTTTACTTGTTAACCAAACAACTAAAATAATGGCAAATCATCCATCCTCCACCTATTCATTCTTCCTCGCACAATTAACAGCCAACAGTCAGAGCATAGCTACTCGATAACTGCTTGGTTAACGGCGACTTATGCATCCCCCCGTATAGGTGCCATTTCTTTTTTACATGTATATGAAGAAAAAAATAAACCTATTAAAAAAAAAACAACACTAATTGACTATTTGTTTTTGTACTGTTGAAAAATATTTTTATAAAAAAATGTTTTTTTTACTTAAATAAATTATTTTACACAGAATTTAATGTTTTTTTAACACAGAATCATGTCTAAGACTTAGCTCTGGAGACTTCAAACGATAACGAAACTACACTAGAAAGATCTGTTCTAGGCATTGCATAATTTTAAAATAGTTGGCAACTGTTTATTTTTTTACCACCAAGAAAACAAGAGTTTTGTGAAGCAAATAAACAAAACTGTTGAAATCCTCAAACCTAAGTCAGCTAAATGAATGTGATACTATTTGTGTTTTTAGAGTTAATAGGCATCTAGAATTCGTTTATCAGTACCAAAGTCCTATATTTGGCTCAGCAGACAACCATACACATGATAGGCAGCCAATCCATTTGAGTACTGCCTGCCCATTTTCATTTTCATCTTAATCTCTTAAAACTAGAGGATGTTCCCATACACCTCCTGCCTAATTACAACAGCTATTAGGCATTTTAATATCATCCTTTCTAATAGTAATTTTACTTGTATTCCACTCAAAAGTAGAGGTACTCGTTTAGAGAATGTGTACTCTTACAATTATATTGGATCGGGAAGTAATCTCTTTTTCTTGGCCTCCCAGAAACTACAATCTAAGCATCTTCCTCGTCATTTAAGCCATTCCCTTTTCTACAAGGTCTAGTATAGAAGAGAAGACACTGTATACCCCCATTATATAGCACTTTGCAGAATGTACCTGGCTAATGGCTACAGTTCTAGAAGAGGACTTCCTTCTTTAGCAAGAACAAAAAGACCACCATCCCCTCTTGAGATACGGAGATCCTCATCAAGGTAGGTAATAAGAAGCCAGGAGCTTGCTTGTTGGCCTGGAATGGGCACCTTAAGTGGTGGCTGGCCAGAAATGGTTCTTCCAATATTTGCTGCTGCCTCCTGCAGAGGATTGAGAGATTGCTGGACAGGAGACAAATTGATCTTTTGCCCAAATAGTTCAACATTTTCTGGGAGACCTATGTTGGAATTTATTTCCGGAGGTTGTAGTGTACCTTCCTTAAATTCAACCTGAGCATATTGAAAGTAGAGGAGACTAGTAAGGTTTAGTTAAATCCTTATGCCAGAAAGTTCAAAGGGGGGAATTTGAGAACCCAGCTCTTCACAGCAGGGGCCACAAAGCTTAAACTAAAACGGTATCTTTCCAATGCAATAATTTCTTATGCTTTCTTAAGAAGATACTCTATTACTGTATTCTTCTATTTTCTGTTCCATTTTTTTTAACATCAAAAGCCACACTGTTTAGTATCTTTCCATTTTTTTTTAACATCAAAAGCCACACTGTTTCAAAAGTTTTAAGAAGTACCTGTATTCTTGAAGGAGTCCGAACGTCAAAAGTTGCAGATGCGCTAAAAGAGAAGGTAGCAAAAGGGCTTGACAATGTAGTTTTGTTCACAATAGATAGATTGCTGGAATCAATTGTTTGAGATATGCTTTTCACTTTCAATAAAGGTGTAGCACCTGCTGCCAACAGTGGCAACAGTTCAGAAAATGCAGTATACCTGTCAGTTATAAATCCAAATTAAATAACAGATTCATAATTAAACAGAGTGTAAATGACAAGAAAATGTATGAATTTTGTCAATTCATCAGGGTGCTTGCTACAATGTTTTCCTTCATGTAATTGAAATCACCAGCAAAAATTTGCATTTACACAAACTCTCCGGAAGCATACAATAAAGCCACAGTTCCATCCAATTGTAATCCTCATACATTTCATTTTGTACATGCCAACATAAAGAGTGGCAAAGAAAGCAGCATTATTTAATAATCTTTAGGACAAAAACAAAACACACATTTTATGTGGTGTACTTTCAACAAAAGATGATGCTTCCTATTGGTTCCATACAGATGGGCACGCTGGTCGTATTGTGCAGCACACAAATCGATTAAGTCCGTGTAATTTTGTCAACAGAAAAAATGACTATTTGTTCTTTTCATTTCAAGCATCATAGAAGATTCAGAAACCAGCTCTCCATGGTACGAGAATCCCAATTAACTTGTTTCCATCAGAAACTCTATTCTATAACTTCAATCAATTTCCAATGGACTGATTCAAAGTGCCCCTAATTAGAACCCCAAAGTTGAATTATTGTCAATTCAATAAGCATTTGAGAACAACCAATAAGTCTTGGTATTCAATTTCATCTTAATTTAGCTACCAAACCCTCAATCTCGACAATAACTAAAGAATACATAGATTCCAAAGCCCAAAGTAGTCTCCTTTCCAGCTATAAATTTCATTTCTACTAAACAATTTATAAAAACACGCACAAAAAAAAAACATAACATGCGATAAAAAAACACTTCAAGAGTTGAATTAACTTCGATAAACTAACAAACTTACACCAAGACCCATTTTCCATCGAGCACACCAGTAGCATCCACAGGTGCCGAAGTCGGGTTTACAGCCTCCAACTGATTAACCAGCTCTAAAACTTCAGCCCGGATCTCAGGGGTCGCCCGAAACCCAAATTCCGTGCCGTAGACCGTATCTACCAAACACCTCTT